TGGGGGGGTAGCTACATGAGCTATATTCCCAATCCACCGGAACTTGACAAGCTACAGAGAAGCAATGTAATATAATTGCTAGGATGATGGGTTCGGGAACCAAATCATCTGTGTTTTATGTCCCTGTTTTGTCACTTAGTAGTTATGTTCCCTTTGGCAAGTAACTAAAGAAATCTGAGAAAGTTACAACACCTCCCTAGTCCTGTTTTCTCGTCTGCAAAATGGGGATTGGAATCTTCGCCTGATAGAGTTCTCAACAGGATTAAACGAGATCAGCTCTGGTGGTGGTATTGGGTGCATTGAAGTATTCAATAAATGGTGGCTATTACCAATAAATGGATATGGAGGTACAATTCAAAAACAACATACGCTAAAGAGCTAGGCTCTACCGTGCAGGCAGACGTGAGAGAGGAGAAACGAGGGAGTGTTTCGGTTGTCGGGAGGGCTTCACTGAGGAGCAACAGATTCAGAAGCTGGTAGCATAGAGAAATGTTATGTGGAGAGGAAAGTACCTGGGTTCTGGGACCACATGTCCCTGAGTTCAAATCTTGGCCCCACCCCTTGTTGGCTGCCTGACCTAACCTCCCTGAGACTTCGTTTCCTCGTCTGAAGAGTGGAAACGAGAAGAGGCACTTCATAAGGGTGTTGGGAAGATTAAGGGAGACAGGTAGGTTAGATGCCTGTGTGCAGAAGGGACCCTAGAAGTGGTGGCTGCTGGAGGAGGAGTCTGCAGGCATGACAAAGGCTTGAAAGCACAAGAGCAGGAGAAATGCCAACTACAAGAATAAGGCGTTATTCGCGGCCATTCATTAGATGTGTACTAAGTGCCAGGTACTGAGCTAAGTCCGTAGAGGGGCAGTTGCCGTGAGACAGGTGACTGGATTCAAATTCAGGCTCTGTGTTTCCTCCATATCACCATGGGCAAGTCATTTACCCTCCCTAACCTCCAGTTCCCTCGCCTATAAAATGTAGATACTAATTATGCTCTCCTTCCGTGCTCTGGTGGGGATTAAATGAGAAAATGTGCATAATAAAGTCATTAGCACAATGCCCAGCACATAGAAATTGCTCTGTGGTGTTATTATTTACATGCATTTTCTCTAATCCTCATAGCAACCCACGAGTTAAGTGTTATTGTCCCCTATTTATAGATCAAACAGCTGAGGCTCAGAGGATCAATCACTTGTCTAAGGTCACAGTGAGGAAGCAGTGGGGCCAGCTCTGAAATCACTTCACCTTTCAGATACGCCGGTAAATGGCACCAGGGTTGAGGCAATATGACAATTATTTTTAAATGCATCCTATGCCATAACCCTCATCTTGTCTTCTGATTGTCCCCGCCACCTCACCTCATCTGTTGAAGATTTAAGGTTTAGGGCTGTCTGTGACCCTGAATGCAGCCCATAAGCCCATCGGCACTGCTCCTCTGGGGACTTGCAGCTTCACAATGTTGGCAGTGTTTATGAAACGTCCATTCTGATTTGCAAATAGGCCTGACACAGATATGCTTCCAGCTGGCCGGTGATTTCAATAACAACCCCGCCTCCTTGGGGCCAATTAACAGAAATTAAATGTCCCTGGCACACTTTGTAATTCAGAAAATGCATGTGCTGATTAGTCAAACCCCTGCTGGACATGTCATTATGACCAAGGGGCTCCAGGCCAACGTCCTAGCTCTCACTCTATCTCCTTTTAGAGTCACAGAATGTTTTGTTCCTGGGTAGAAATCAATGTCACCTCATTCGGTTTCATTACACAAACATTGATTGAGCATCTACTGTGTGCCAAGTTTCGTTCCACACAGTTGGGGTACAGCAGTGAACCATGCAAGTAAGTTTCCTGCCTTCTTGAAAGGGAGTAAAAGGTAAACAATTAGACACAGAACTTCTATACGATGGACGTTATGAAGGAAACAAAGTGAAGCGACAGAAAACAGCGCAGGGGTATGAGCTACATTAGGTAGGGTGGCCAGGAAGGTTTCTCCAAGGAGGTGACATATGAACTGAGATTTGAAGACTAAGCAGGAACCAGACAGACAGTGCGGCAAGGCAGACAAGAACAAGCTCAGCATGCCCAGGAAATTCATTCATTAAGCACGCATTTCTCATGCAATCAATATGTGTTGAATGAACAAGCAGAGAATAGAAGAATCCATTTTCCTGCCAAGAAGGGCCTTCATAGGAAGGATGACTTATGGGAGATGCCATAAGCAGAGGCAAGTTATTTCCCTTTTCTCCAGTCCCATTCCCCGTCTCTAAGGCTGGCTCAGGCACTAGCAGTCCAGGGCTGTAGGACCTTAAGCACTGACCTCACAAAGGGTCTGGCCCTCGTGGCTCTTTGAAGCAACAGCTACACAGCCAGCAACAAGCAATCTGTCCGTTTTTAAGCAGTCAAAATGGTTGTTTAGAATTGCGTGGATAAGACATGAAATGACATCTTTGTTATCATTAGGATATAGTTATTGAATTTCCATACCCGCTTGCTCATTCCGAAAATGTGTATTATGAATCGTGAGTCTCCCTATCCCTTCCACACTCCTCCCCTTCCCCCCATCTTTTTCTAGCACAGTGATTAAGAGCCCAGACTGTAGAATTAGAACACTTGAGTTGTATTTCAGGTGCGACTCACTGTGTGACTTGGGCAAGTCACTTCACTTCTCTGAGTCCCAATTTTCTCATCTATATAATGGGAATAATAATAGAGACCATCTCACAATAACCACATAAAATAAATACTGAGCTATTATTATCCTCATTTTGCAGATCAGGACGTAAGGCTTTAAGAACTCAATTTACAAAACTGAGACTTAGGTTTTTAAGACAAAATAAACTCTAATAACAAATGTGACAATGAACTAGTTTAGTGATCTGTATCCACTTGTAGGGTTTTCTATTCATGGAGATAATCAAGAAGTGAGATCACAATAAATAACCTCAAACAGGTCTCTTAATTTATGATAATACTTTTGAGCCAACAGTTACAGACCCCTGCTATGTATTTTACTTAGATTGATTTAAAAATCTTACTATACGCATAAGAAGTAAATACTATTACTGTCGCCATTTTACAGATAAGGAAACTAAGACCAAAAGCAATTAAATAATTTCCACAGGGTTACACAGCTAGGAAATGGAACTTGGGAATAAAACCAGGCAATCTGACTTTAGTCTGTGCTGCTAACTGCTTGCCACTTCGTTTAAGATGGGATGCAAAGCTTTCCTGCAGACATCAGAGTTTTCTACTTCAAATAGACTTGTCTTCTGAGCACTCAGTAAACAAATTATTACCTGCCTAATCCTAAAACCCTGGCCTGTAGACACAGCACTAATAAGGGATCTACCCAGCGCTGCACAATGCCAGCCATAGGTAAATTCACACTGCCTACCATTGAAGGGATTTCCAGGTGCCTATTAAAATGCCAGTCTATCTTAGAGTTGAAGTTCTTTCTACATCATTTAGCATAACCTGGAAGGTCAGATTCATGTGGTGGCCAACTTTCCCTTGGCAGTTACTTCCTTATTACTTCCTCGCCCCTGCACTGGCCCTCAGAAATGCTATATCACAATAAATGTAGTTAAAAGAGCAAACAAACCACCGCCACTCCCTGGGGATCCAAATGCAATCATCTCAAATAACCTTGCCTTCAGTCTCCTAGCTGCTGACACCAGGCCTGATCTGCAAATCAAAATGGCCGTTTTTGGGCCCATTGTGATATTAGCAGGCTGTCCATCTCGAAAGGCACATCCCCAGCATCAGCGCTGACACCAACTTAGGCACAGAGAAGAGAAGCAGGCTGTGTCTAATACAGGCACCTTCCCATTCAAGGGCTAAGAGTGGACTAGCCTGCCCACATTTGGTGGTATATAGTGAAGGCAGCATAGCTCCAAACCCTGTGTAACTTATTGACGAGGGACGCAGAAGGCATCCTAGTAATCACAGACTGCGTTCATGCCTGCTTCTCTCACTGAATGTAAAGCAGCCACCTGGCGCCTCTGCCAGCTCTTACTTGCCTTGTGCACATCAGCAAATGAGTAAATGCTGCATGGCATTTGCAAGCTCTGAGAGCTCAGAGAGGCTGTTTTGAGCCTATATGTGGCTACCAGCATGAAAACTCAGGCTCTTTCAGTTCTCTCTGTCTCTGGAGCCAAAGATCCCAGTTCTACCTTTAGAGAGTGGGAGTTTGAGTAAGACTCCCCAAATCGGTGTTTCCCATAAATTTTGTTGGCAAGATCTGACTGTCCCATGCCATGCCAAGAATGAGGCTGCGAGCATCATTTAAGTTCCCCCAATGAGAAAAACTGGCCTGTTAAATCAGTATAAGGTGAGAAAAGAAATCAAGCTTCAAAAGAAAGAAATTGGGCAGAAGATGGAAAACTCCCTTTCCTACTCATTTCTGGTTTTCATGGGAACTTCTGGAAAAACTCTGAGGCTGGCTCTTTTAAAAGACAAGTCTTTCTAAATGTTATTGGACCAATTCCCATCATCCTTTTAGCTTTTTCCTGTCCCCCTTCAGCATGGTCATTTGGGACTTTAGAGAGCAGCTGACTCCTGTGATGCCCATTCAAACCACCTGCCCTCACTTGGACGAGGGGCAGCCGGGGGTGTTGGCTGCACTACCTTGTCAGCATTCTCAGCCCCAGAAAGAGAAAGGGGGCTAAGGGCTGGGCACAGAGGGAAGGGCATTAGTTGCGTCTGCGGGGAAGATTGGGATGCAGGGTGAGTTTGGTAATCACCGTAGACTATTTGAGGCCTCAGAGAAATCCTGGGGGCTCGTGGATTTCAACTTTTTATTTTTGAAATAACTTCAGACTTACAGAAATGTTGCTGAAATAGTACAAAGAGTTCCTGTATACGCTTCAGAGCTAGTTTCCCTAGATATTAATATTTTACTATGTTTTGATTTTCTCTTTTATATACATATATAAGAATTTTAAAGAACTGTAGTCTTCCCAGGATGCAGTCACACACGAGAGATTCTGAAATCTTTTTCACCTTCACAGACCCTGCCTTGGTAAACTCCCCAGGAGGAGCTCACAACAACTGGGATGCTGACGAGAACCGAAGATCTGATTGGATGAAAGCTGCTCCACGGAGAGTTTGTGGACCATGTGATATTCCTTGGACATCAGGGAACAGTACAGAATACCAATAGGCTGGCCTCCAAGACAGAAGGGTAACAGGACAAAGAACAAATCTGTCTTCGCCCGCAGTCTCGGTGGGTGGCGAGCCAGGTTGGAGAAAAGCAGGTGTGCCATGTGCTGTTACAGGTCACACCAGACTCCCAGCCCTCCTGTCACTTCATTCTGTTGTCACGGCCAAACCTTGTCTTGCCAATTTCTCACACCTTGGCACCTAACTGACAAGCGAAAGGACTGGACTTCAAATGCCTTTCAGCTCGGTGACTGGCCTGTCTATCCAGCTAAGATTTAGAGCAGTGCAGGAGAGAACATAATACTCTTCTCTTGGGTGTTCAGGCCAGAGGCCAACGCTTCTTCACAATGTCCCTCTCCTTCACCCCTCCCCTGACTCACGACCGAGCACCCCGTATCCCTCTGTCACATCCTCATTCTTTTCCATTCCAATTCCACTCTCTCTTAACCCCCTGACACCTTCTGATCCAGAAGTTTTCTATTGGAACATCCTGATCTAGGAAATAAGATTTGGTACATAAAGAATCTCAGATAAGAGAAGTCCATGATGTTATAAGAGAGATGCCATAGACTGCAGTGCTTACAGAGAGGCTGCTTCAAGTCTAAAGATATAAAAATCAGTTATAACCATGAACACTTTTTTGTTCAGAAATAAGTCGTCTTAAAGGAGAAGCCATTAGAAGATATTCTACCGCTGGTTTAAAAAAAAAATTCTAATTTAAAATTCAAATTTAAAATGATCTGTGCTAATCAGAGATTAAACATTGGACAGATAAATGCAATTCACAAATATCCTGTGACACTTGGAGCCACACATTTTTATCTTCTCCCTTAAGACATCAATAAGAATTTCATTTCATGCTGCCCTCATTACCAAAGACAATGACAAGAATGCAGCCTCATTTGGACGTGTTGGTTGTTTTAAAGTTCAGGATCATAATTTTGCACTAAAGCACCCTCAGTCTTTCATCGAGGCTTGCTTGTAAACATCAGCCAAATCGTGAACAGAATGAGGGTTGCATTTTGTGGTTATAGAAATGTTTCCTTCTATATGTGTGAAGCTGTCACGTGCAAGACTCAGACTGGTACCCATCTCTTAATGGGATGAATAACTTGGACCTCTAACCACACCCTTCTCTCAGGGAGTGATAATAAGCCACTAGAAACCCCAAAGTGTTGTCTTTCTCTGCCAAGTGGTGAGTGAGAAAGCAGGAGGTATGATGAGACCACAGAATGGATAATTCAGTGGTGACATCTTCTCACATGTGGTCAGTGATGGTGCAGTCAATTGTCAGTCATCCCTTTTCTCTGACAGCTGGGACTAAGTGTTGGTTCCATTTCTTCCGCGATAAATTCAGGTTTGGTTGGTTCCTCTTTAGCCTCAGCAGCAATGGATAGAGAGATGCTGCCTTCAGATTCTGGAATCTACTCGTTACTACCAGGAGGCCTTACAGCCCACCTAAGAAGAGGTTTCGATGGCTTCATTTTCCCGGGTAAAGTCATAGAATGTTAGAGTTGGAAGAAATTTTGCTTTTATAGATGATGTATGGCAAGGTTACATATAGGCCCACACAAAAGCCAGTGGTGTAAACTGGGATGGGGAAGACACAACTTTTAATGCCTAGAAATCATCAGACCACATTGGCTAAGGATAGCCTTGTCTTCAAGGCCCTCTCGCTCAGACTTTCTTCTGCCATCGGCTTCTCCCTCTCACATTTAGAGCAACAGGAAACGGCCACTCCTAATTTTTCACTTGCTGTTTTTTAAGTCTCTGGGAACTTGGCTGATAGTGGAGGGACAGGTAGCTTTTACTTTGTCCCTGCTTAACCCATCAACCAAATATTTTCTGAAAACACAAAATGAAGAATCTGATTTGTTCCTAGCCAAACCCAGAAGCTTAAGGAAAGCTCCCCCGTCTCCGAAAGTTTTCATCTCTGGACTTGTCAGTTTCAGGATAGGGACTCCAAATAGTCATGGGTCAAAAGGTGGTGGGGGTGGTGGCGGAGGCAGGCAAGGATGAATTAGAATAATTAGAATGAAGTCAATCCTGAAATTGTTGCTAGAATTGTTTGCTAACCACGAAGTCTGAATTTCATCTTCTGGGATTTCGCTGCTTATTAATACATGTTGGGTCCAGGGGAGAAAGTGTTGTTTAGGGTGAAAAAGAGGAAAGAAAAAAATGGAAGGGGAGAAGAATTCCCTCGTCCATGGAAATATAAGCAGAATAGATACAGACTCTTGTGTCTCTGATTGTTTTTTTTAACTGCAGTGTTTTTAACAGACCGAAAAGAAAATCTTTATGAGGTAATATGTATGTGAATAATGTTTATAAAAAGGGTATAATGTGTTAGTCATTATGGATTATTGTATAAGCAAACCTTAGATATATAAAATATAGAAACATATAAAAAATTATTTTATAGGACAGTGGACACTTAAGGACTTCCAAACTTTTCATATCTTTGTTCTAAAAAACAGAGAGTTGCAGCGCTGGCAGCTTATTTCCTTAGTATATTCCACTGTAAAGCCAAGAGGTTTGGTGGGGTTTTGTTCATTTTCCGGTTTTGTAATTTATCGTTTGTATGGATTACTTTGCAATGTCTGTTGCATGTGTGTTGGTGTCGTTTACCCACATGGAGTCATCAGAGGTCCGTTCCACACTTTGCATCTCAGAAAACCAAAAAGAACTTTCTAGTGAGAAGAAAAACACACAGAACATGCCTTCTTCACCATTGGGCAACTCTAAGAGTTATACCCCTGACAGCTTGTCGTAAGTCTGAGGAAATGGGAAGTTTAATGTCGGAGTTGTTGTCTCTCCTTTAAATATTTGGTGTTGGATCACTTTTCTCCTGAGAAGGAGTCACGTGTTTTTGTTAAGTCCTTTTTTCTGGGACTCGATATGTTCTAGAAGAAACCAGTCCTGGTCCTCAACCACCTCGCTTCAGGGCCACTCCCTGGCATCAGTTTTCAAAGAACTACCTATCCACACGTCAACTCTCCATTTTACATTCTGTGATTAGATGGTAGACACTGCTCTTAGAGCCCAGAGTTTTACTTGTCTGGTGTGTGGCTTTAATGAAGTGTTAAGTTTGCTCTTCACCACCCAGGGTTTGATCAGAAGGAAAGAGAAAAAAGAAGGACCCCATTGCTGGAGAGGTCCACTAGTATCTCTTCCATCAGCCATGAGGAAAAGCGGGCCAGACATTGGTACATGAATATCCTCTGCTCTCCACGCAGGCAAGGGTCAGTCATGTGGACATGGAGAGATTACCCAAGTCTCCTTTGCCAAAAATGCATATTGTTCCCAGCTGCAAGCTTGAGAAGCCCGATATGTGTTTAAGCACGAAACAATAAAGCGGGTTTATTTTCAATTAATAGAGTTGTCCCTGAAGCCTGTTTTGTTTTTGTTTTTGTTTTTTTTCAGTAGCTGGCTTGGAGGGGGGAGGACATCATCAGAGAGTAAACATCAATATTGAGCACTTAACTTTCCCAAAGGGCTTTGGTTCCTGACAGCTACTCTGGACATCCAAGAGGGAGGGATGGGAGGAGAGGAACCACTTTGTTAGCCAGAACTGCTTAGTTTCAGTGGGGATGACTAGGGACAGGGCGAGTGGCGCTTCCTCTCAATGCTCACCAGGCTGAGTTCACCTCCACAGAGCAAACACCAGGTTGTACAACCACGAGGGCCCCAGAGGCCTCTTGGCCAGAAGCCTGCTCTGCTTGCTATCCGTCCCTTACCAGCTGTGTGGCTTTGGGCAAGTTACTTAACCTCTCTGTGGCTCAGGTTCCTTTTCCGGAAAATAGAGCTATAATAGCACCTGAGGAACACTAAGGATTAAGTGTCTTAAAACATGTAGAGTACTTTGAACAGTGCCTGCCTTGCACATACGGGTACTCAATAAAATTAGCGTTTTACCACCTTTACAATGTTTGCCATATCCACCAACCATCTATATTATTATTTACTTAATATCCTTATTTTTAACCGACTCCATTTTAATCTAAAATTTAATTGAATACTTTGAATCTCAACTGTAAATGGAAAATCAGTATAAAGTGCTATGGCTGTAAAGTAGCAGTAGATTACATAGTAATGACAGCTCACATGTACTGAGCCCTGGCTACTTGCCAAGCACTGTACTAAGTGTCTCACTTGTTCGAATCCTCGCAGCTCTACGAGGTCGGAACTCTCATTTTACAGATGAGGAAACTGAGGCACAGAGGGATTAGCAAATTTGCCTACAGTTACACGATCAGTAAGTGAAGGAGGCATTTCAGGCTTCACAACCCAAGCTCCTCAGCACTGTTCTGTGCCGCGGCCCGAACAAAAACGAAAGTATTCTAGTCACACATAGATGGTTGGTGTTTTCGCTTCTCAGGGCTGCAGTAACCAAGTACCACAAACTGGGCGGCTTAAAGCAACGGAAGCATTCTCTCACGGATCTCTGGAGGCTAGAATCCAAAATTAAGATGTTGGCAGGGCGACGCTTCCTCCAAAACCTCTAAGGGAGGATTCTCCCCTGCCTCTTCCAGCTTCCGGTAGCTCCAAGCATCCTTGGCTTGCAGCGGCATCATTCTAAGCTCCGTCGTCACATGGCTGTCTTCCCTCTGTGTCTCTAAGTCTCTTCTCGTAAGGACAGCAGCCATATTGGATTAGGGCTCACCTAATGACTTCACCCTGACTTGATTACTACAAGACCCCATTTCCAAATAATGTCACATTCACAGATACCACAGTTAGGACTTTAACATATCTTTGGGAAGGAGGGGAATGATGTTGGGGAGAGACACAATTCAACTCAACCCACAACAGTTGCTTACCCAAGGGATTTGCAAGTGCTAGAGAGGTGTTCAAGATTAGCTGTGACCTGAGACTTTCTCCTTTACACAATCAGGACTGAGGAAGTCAGGAGAAGGGAAGGACAGTGCCTCTGTATTTCTGTGCCCTGTCCAGGAGCTAACTAAAATGAACCATCTCCTGCACCATCACCAGTACTTTGGAAAAAGGGGCTTAGCTTAAGAAAGCCAAATATTAATTCTTCCAGGTTCCCAGACATCCCTCATGAAAGGATGGCAGTAGGAAGAGGGTGAAAAACGCAGCCTTCCAAAACTCCAGGCAGGCGGATGGAGGGCACAAAACTCACCTCTAGAACCTGCCTGGTATGGTTGGGCTGGCACAACAAATCCAGACAAATAGGAGTCTGCATCGGGGGGAATGAGGAAAGAAAGAACAACAGTAAAGACAGCAGTGGGGGAATCATTTATTTCCATACTGCTTCAGTGAAAATTTATAACAATCTCTTTACTAAGAGGGGTTTGAGGGCAGGGCGAGGGGGAGGGAGGAGGAGCTTTCTTGCTCTGTCAGACAAAGGTATCCTTAGTGGAAGGGGCTGCTGAGATTTCATAGAGTCGGGAGGTCCTCATCTTTAGTTCCCGGGCCACCTGACAGATGGAAAAAGGCCAACAGCAGTGCACCGCCAGCCAGTCCTCACACAGTGTGCCCTAGGGGGAGAGCCCGTGTCTGTTCCGCTGCAAGCACAGAGGCTTGTTTCCGTTACCCAGAGCCCCCTGCAGTTCCACCTGATGGCCGACCCCATGCACTGTTTCCAAGACCCACCGGCACCCCTAAGTCAGTGCCCCAGGACACAGCTCCACTGGGTTACCCAAGGGCCAAGCTGCTCACCAGCTAATCGGTCCTTGCGATTCAGAGACCTGTCTTTTGGGCGTTTGATATAGGCTTCATAATTGAAACCACTGATTTCTCTGTCAACATCTTTTTCTCTCTTAGGACTCAGTAATTAGAAGTATTTTATTTATGTCTTTGAAATGGTAATAAATGCTCACGGTCCAAAATTCCCACAGTAAGAAGGGATAGGAAGTAAATAGTAAATCCCTTCTACAGCTGTCCCCAGCCACCCAGTTACCCTTCCGGGGGCAACCATTGTTGGCAGTTTCTTATCTACCCTTCCACATAAATTCTCTGTCTATGCTAGGATGTACATATACAGTTTTTTTATGCAAATAGCTGCATACTTCTATGCCTTGCTGGTTTTTTTCTTTTTTTACTTAAAAATACATTTTAGGGATCATTTCATATGAATATATCAAGAGATGCTTTTTTAAAAAAACCATCCACATCTTAATATGTATGACCTGTCTGTCCTCCATCTCTCATTATACCTCAGTCTCGGCTGCACTGGAAATCGACTGTCTGGCTCTTTGAAGAGTCCCCAGGGAACCCCTAAAGTGAATTCTGCATATGCCACATAGGCTACATTTTAAGTCAGACCATCTCAAATATATCCTCCAAATCTGATGTAATTCTGTCATCTCCTCTTGATGCAGCAAAACAGAAGTGGCCCACTGACCAATAATCTGCATTATAAATAGGTCACCCTTGGAAATACCCTTCATGATGTGACATTTTGGTTAACATACATCCTACTAATAAAGAATGACATCAGAAATTTCTTGCCTTTCTTTTACCGAAGTCTTCCACTAAGCATGGTGTTTTTAAACAGCCTCACCCAGACTTTTTTTGTGGGGGGGTGGGGCGAGGAGCACAGGTTTGAATGGCATCCAGGTTCTCATATAGATCCGGGTTCACATATACATTCAAACACACTTACCCGTATTTTATGTCTCTCTCTGGTGCCAATTCTCAGTGCAAAGGTGGACCCAGGTAACAATGGCCAACAAAAACACTCTCCGTAATGCCTGGCGATGTCACACTCAAGACACATCGGACAAAAGAGACCACAGAAACCTGTCGATAACCACATAAAAGAAAGCCAAGGTTCTCAGAAGTTTCTCGGAGCAAATTCCCATCTCAAAAAGCATTTATAACCCTGTGCCATCAATTTAATGTTGCTTTGTCTCCCTGCAATCAGGGATTAAGAATGAATAACCAACTCTCAAGACTCAGTGTATGAAAATTGCCATAACTGAGCCACATCGAAATTGTCTTCTCTTGTTGTACACCGGCAAAGCTGAACCTGATACAATTCAGTTAGCATTCACTATGATGATTGTTTCTTCTTGTCAAGAGAAAGCATGAAATATTTTTTTTTTACAACTAGATCATAACTGCTGCTTCTATTATGTTCATCGATCTAATTTCAGTATTTAAAATAGACATAGTATATGATACTTTTCAATAACAGGCTTTTTTTCCTGTAAATGTGATTGAAAGCTTTTATGGTATACTGATTCTGCCTGCTGTTCTTATCAGAACTTTATTCTATTTCTCAGGCCAGAAGGTTACTCTAATTTTTGCTAGTTTAATGGAGCCACTGACACCTGCCAGTTTTAATCTGTAAACCATTAGAGGCTTGGTTCCTTGAACATCAACTGGAAACAGTTTGTCATTTATTCATTCACTCATCTTTAACTACTGATACTGTTTCCTACACATTCTGCATGAACCAACTAACACAGAAGTTCTGTTTTAAATGTTTTGGGTTACAGACCCTCTGAAGAATATGATGATACCTATGTACTCGCTCCTCAAAGAAAAGGAAGAATACATGCACACAGACATGCAAAATAGTACATTCAATTTCACGGGTTCAAGGATCATTGAAAACTATTAACGGACTGCAGGTTAAAAACTCCTGATATACAATTAATATGTTATGTCATCTAGCAGTGAGAAAGATGACAACCTAGATGAATACAAATAATTAGGACTATGAAACAGTGGCAGGGCGGGAGCTAATAATAACCTTTAAAAATATATTAGATAAATACATTACTGAGGCATAATTAAATACAAGAAAATGCACAGATCACAAATGTTCAGTTAGATGAGTTTGACAATCATATTCCGCCAAGTAATCAAACGTGTGGAACACTGCCCTCGGCCTGTGATGGCCCCACGCATCTTCCCACCCCCACTCCACAGGCGATCGTTACTCCGATTTCTATGCCCATAGATGAATTTTACCTCTTCTCAGACTTTGTATAAATGGAATCATGTTTACTTTTGTAATTGTCTTCTTTTGTTTGACATCGTGTTTCTTGAGATTCATCTACGTTTTGTGAATCTGTAGTTTGTTTTTTTTTTATTGTTTATCCATTCTCCCACCGATTATTCTGATTTTTGCTATTATAAACAAGTACTATGAACGTTCATAAACAAGTCTTTATGTGGACATACATCTTCATTTCACTTGGATTCCTGGAAATGGAATTGCTAGGTCATAGGGTAGATTTATGTTTAACTTGTTCGAGAAACTAATAAACAGTTCTCCAAAGTATTTACATCATTTAACACTCCCACCAGCAACGTGTGAGAATCCGTTATCCCACATCCTCACCAACATTTGCTATTGTCAGCCTTTATTTTAGCCATATTCATGAGGGTGAAATGGTAGCGATCATAGCCTTTTAGTGCACCAGATACAAAGGCTCACATATCATGTCACTAGCATACTAGAAGAACTTCCTGTCAAAGGCCTGTCTGCCTACCTATCCCTCCCTCCCACATTCCCACTATGAGGAGTGCAAAGTCCTACTCCCAAATTCAATAACCAAGAAGCAAAAAGATAGGAATGCTGTTTTATCTCATAACTTCCAAGGGCTGTTCCAGGACTCTGGACTTCTCCAGTGTCAGATAAGGGGTGAGGTGGCACATGCACAAAAGCCATGAGGACTGGGGCTATTTGGGGAGGGGTGTGTGGTAAGACAAGGAACAGCTTATCTTCAAGGAACAGAACATCACTTTCATCCATTCAGGAATCTTAACATAATCGCTAAATCACATACTATAAGATTCAGGTGGCCGAAAACAAACTCTGTATACAGCCTTGAGTTGTTTCTAGGATGTTTCACTCCACATTTTTTTAAAAAAATCATTACTTCCAGTGAAATTGGCAGACCCCATCCAGCACTGACAACTGGTAGAAACAGCTCAGAGACAGGAAGTGGTCCAGTAAACTTACAGCAAGTTCAGAGTGGTCACACTGCATGCAACCTTAAATTAGGGGACTTTGAAATCATGACACACAAAAGTCAATCAAATCTCACTTTATGCATGGATTATGAAATAGTGTGTAAAAGTCCCTGCAAATAAAAAAAGTATAAAAACTTGCAGAATTATAAAGCTGGCACACTAAGTGAGTAATAAATTGTGTTTACACAACTGCTGAAGCTGCACCACTTTAACGAGCAAAGGAAACACTCGCCATCCACAGTAAGCACATTGTAGAGAAGCCGTTTTGTGCATCGGAACTCCTGTACTTATTTTTATGATTTGTGCGCCTTTTTAAAAACACATTGTTATTTTTAATATTTTTCTTCATATGACCATTCAATTCCCTAGGGATGGAAATCAGAAATGATTAAAAAAAAAAAAAACTATGAAAGCTAAACTTTTATTATGTAATAGCTAACACTCATACAAATTTAACCCTGTGCCAAGCACTGCTAAAAATACTTTGCATTAACTCATTTAATTCACACCATAATCCTGTAAAATTATACTCTTCTTATGCCTATTTTACAGATGAGAAAACTGATACCTGGAGAGTTTAAGGTAATTCCCCCAAGTTCATACATTTGTTAGGAGGGACGGAGGCCAGATTTGAACTCACGTAGTCTGGCCCCAAAGTCTTAACTACTACATACAACACGTATGTCCATATGTCCTTATGTTTTATGCATTTATCTAGTATGCCACAAAGGTTGTGGGTTTGTATGCTTCGAAACAGTACCCTCACTACTAATACTTTATATTTATTCCTGTGGGACAGTCTTAAATCATGGAACTGCTTCAGGAAAGATCCTTTGTGTCAGGCATTAGTGGCCTGTACCGTAATGGAGCATAGTCTACTCACACCTCAAGAATGCGTAAGGGTAGGATGATGGAATTCTTTATCTTGAAGAGTCTCTAGAAGAAAGTTTTCCAATATATATCACAGGCCAAGGGTAAGTATCCAGAATATACAGAGAATTCCTACAAATCAATATATAAAGGATTAAACAAAAGAAGAAAACGGGCATAGGACACAGGCAGGGCTTTCACCAAAGAGAAAATACAAAGGGCCAACATCAAACATGAAAAGTTGCTCAGTGCTGTTAGTAATCACGGAAATGCATAATAAGACTGTCGGAAATCATATATCACCCATAAGAATGGCAAATTTTTCTTAAGTTTTTAAATATCAAACATTGTGGGGAACCTTGGAGAAGCAGGTGCTCCATGCACAGATAGGAGTGGGAACTGGTCCCGCACTCGGGAAGCAACCTGGCTGAATCCGACAAACTTTTAAACTCTCCCGGGCCCCGCAATTCCACTTATCAGGATCTACCCTCGAGTGATGCTTACACATGCACACAAAGCAGCAGGTGCCAGGATATCCACTGCTGTATTATTTGTAGCTTGAACTCTAAAACAAATGTACATTAATAGATGGAAGTGTAACTAAACCATGATGGTATAAATCATGCTGTGGAATAATTAAGAATGCAATGAAAGATCAATTAAGTACCAACAGAGTTAAATCTCTAAAACAGAGTTTGAGTTAAAAAATATTGCATAATGATATGTGCGGCATAACATCATTTATGCTTTGTTTTAAAGAGCTAAAGTGCGTAGGCTCAAAAGGGATTTGAGCCATAAATTCATCCTCTTCCTCTTACACTCGAAGGCCTGGTGGTTGTGTAAGCACGCACAGCCTAAACATTCTTGGCCTGTTCTCTGAAATGGGTTCCACCTTATACTGTGGTTCATGCAATGTGGTTCATTATTCATCATTCTCACTCATAGGGCAGCTGAGATAAAAATAATTATAAGAAGAAGAAGAAGAAGCCTACACAAAACCACAGTGTGGAGAGCCCCAGAGATCAAAAGGAGGAAAGGTGGGTGGAAATTGCAGCAAGGCACATTTCAGATCAATTATTGCAAAAAGGCAGAACCATCTGACAATAAGAGATGCTCAAAATAGGAATGGGGCACACGTACAGTGTGGGCGGGAGTGTAAATTAGTACAACTTCGAACTGAGAGCCGTTTGGCAACATCTATCAAGATTAAAAAAAAAAAAGACTTAAAATGGTACATACTATTTGACCATCAGGTTTACTCCTCAACAATTAGCCAATAGGTAAAGTCACAAGCATGCAAAATGACATCTGTACGAGTATATTCACACAGCAAAAAGTGTGGAAACCACATAAAGATCCACAATGGGAATTTTTTGGATAAATGGAATCTATATAGCAGTTTAAAATATTAGCTCCAGAAGTGCAAATATGGTCTGATCACCTAGTCATATTGCCAAATTAAACAAATGTGCAGAACAGTGTATTTACAGCTCTACTATTTTGTAAATTGTATACACACACACACAGCAAAACATCTGGAAGCATAGATACATGATTAACAACGGTGATCTCTGATGGCTTTGATTACAGGATACCGCTTTTTTCTTTTATAGCCTTGTGTATTTTTCTTTTTTACCATGATTATTGATACTTTAAAATAAAGAAATACTCATCTATTTTCATTCATTTTTTTAAAATTTATCTTTACAAGCATATAGATTGTATCTGGATTCAGGTAAGAGTGATTGCCTCTGGGGAGAAGTGGGAGAGAGAGAGAAAAGATGGAATACCTGCTTTTCATGTACCAAAAGGGTAGGTACTTTTGAATTTTGCATCACGTGCATGGTAATCTATTCAAAATCATTTTTTTTAAAGCACCGAGCTGGCTCCAAGGGAGAGAAGCCTTCCTCCCAGGAAATATTCAGAAAGCCAAGAATGTCAGGTCTTTGCCAGACATGCTGCAGAGGGGATTTAGATAAGCAGTGGACAGGCCAGACCAGCTGACCCCATATCCCTCCTAACTCTGAAACCTTATGACTCTTTCAATGAAGAGCGAGAAAGAACAAATCAAGTGAAAACACAGTTTAAAATTTATGCGCCGATGTGTCATTTGGGAAATATTTTGAAGCACCTTCTGCGGGCCAAGCGCTCTGCTGGAAGCCAAAGACGTGAGCAAGACAGCAGTGGTCCCTGCTTTCGGTGTGGACAGTCTACCCGAGACAGAGTTCGGGGACGTGGATCCCAGCCCAAAGACTTTTCATGCCTCCGTTCTCTTCCAGGAAACCAAAGAAAAGCCTGGCCCGCTTCATTCTACCCACCTTGGGCATCTGATGGTTCCTAGTCCACACCAAGTTCATTACTGTCTGGTGCTCGCGATGCCCTCCAAGGGAAGGTTGTTCGACTGGCTGATTCTTTCCAATCTCAGCTATCAGCTTAAGTCAGTACCTTGGAGAGGCCATCCTGGACTCCTGTAATCTCCTTTCATAACTCCTTTTATCACCACTGCAATTATTTTACTGATTTATGTGCTTATTGTCTACCTCCTATAACAAACCTTCTCTGCCTCATTCACAACTATGTCTATAACCCCTATCACATGTCTCCACATAGATGGGAACTCAGCAAACTTTGAATTACAAACCAGTGTTGATTACACCTTTCACATGACCTTCTCTGGGGCAATGTCACCACCGTTCCCGAAGCTGGAATGCCCGGCCTTTTACCCACTCTGCCACTTAGCAGCCCTTACTTCACCTTGGCTTCACCTTCACATCCGAGCCTCCAGCAACCACACCTTCACGGGACACAGAAGCACCCGTTTGCTAATTCCAGGCAGGGAGAACTCACATGAAAGCACAGAGGTGGGAAGAGGCAGTCAGTTCAAAAAATATAATTACACTAAAATGAAGAAGCAAAATGTCAAAAAGAAAAGGAAATCATCGCTGTTCATAATGTACCCTTTGCTTAATGGATGACAAATTGTAGCAATAATTCTCCACAGTTAACGAGAAGGTGTCCCAGGATGGGAATCTGGCATGGAACAAAGTCACGGCAAGAAGTTCTCCATTTTTGTTCCCCAGTTAGTCACAACTATTTTCACAGTACTTTGCTGGAAATTAAATTTTGTGGGTGAAGTAGCCATTTTAAACATGAAAGAAAGAAAGCTAGGATTCATAGCACTCATACGTCCTGGGAATTATGGGACAGATGAGTGTACAAAGTGATATTGCTTTTAAATTTCCTTCTAAGACAATTAGCTAAGAGATACTATGAGCAGTCACAAAATGGAAGCCCATCCATTGTTCTAAGGAACAATTAGAACACAGAACATCCAAGATCATTGCACTGTATATTCATGGCTTCTCCTCCATGGGTCATGCCCAATTGTAAAGAATATTGTACATATTTCTCCACGTCTTTCCTTTTCCTCTTCCCCTAGAATGGGCTCTCAGATGAAGCGAGGACTCCCCAGGAGACCCAGTGTGGTTGGTCTCTCAAACACCTCTGGGGGTGGGGAGCAGAGCTAAGCAACAAAGCAAGGTTTAAGCAGAGTGGTGAGAAGTGGTCCTTTCTTTGACCAACTTTTTAGGTACTCTTGGGATTGGATGGGAATCACTCTACAGCAGCCAGTCTAAGTCTCCTGACAATACTCTTTGCTCTCAACATGCTGGAAGATAATAAAAATGTATAACAACAATATTAATACCTAAGATTCACTAAGTACATTGTTGTATATTTGCTAAGATATTCCTGAGAACAGCACCCCAACAGAAAAATTTAGAAAATTATCCCTTCAATATTGCGGGCAATATTGATAGAACTGTCACTCAAAATGCCCTGGCCTTCCCAAGCAGCAGGCACATGACCTAAGCTAGGAAAATTGGGCTCTATCTGCTAAAACATCAATTCTCAGACAGGAAAACAACAGGATAAACATGTTTAGAGTTTATCAGACTATCAGCTAGCTTCCTGATAATGCATCTAATCCCGCTGAGCTTAGTTTTTAGTTGGTATTTTGATTCTGCGAGTTACCCCATAGCCTTCTAATGAAATCCAATGTTTGCTTGTGTATTAGTTTCCTTGGGCTGCCAGACCAAAATACCACAAACTGGGCATCTTAAAACAATAGAAATCATTCTCTCACTAGAAAATTCTGGAGGCTAGAAGCCTGAAATCAGTGTGTTGGCAGGGCTTGTTCCTTCTGGGAGCTCTGAGGTAAGAGTCTGTTCCACACCCCTCTCTAAGCTTTTGGTGGTTGCTGGCAATCTTTAGCATTCCTTGGCTAATAGATGCATTATTCTAATCTCTGCCTCCACCTTCACATGGCCTTCTTTTCGGTGCGTTTGTGTCTAAATTTCCCTCTTCTTATAAGAACGCCAGCTATTGGATTAGGGCCCACCTTCACCCAGTATAACCTCTTTTTAACTTGACTACTTTGCAAAAATCCTAGTTCAAAATAAGGTCACATTCAGAGCTTCCAGGTAGACGTGAATTTTGAGGAGACACTATTCCACCCAGTAAAGCATGCAACCAACAAAACTCTGATCCAGTTATGTTCCAAAGCAGCGTTAAGAGTAGATTCTATACATTATCTGCTTTAATCCTGACAACCACCCTTGAGTTGGGCACTTTTATTATCCTCGTTTTAGAGATAGAAAAATAAAGACCCAGAGAATTTGTCAAATGGCAGAGTTAAAATTCAAGGCAAGGTCTAAATCTGATACCAATGCATTCTCCTAATCACTGCATTATATTCCAGGCTCTGTCCTACTTGGAAAGGCATGTATGGCTCCCCAACCCCCAACCACACGCTATGAGAGGAAAACCATCCACCTCCCAATGTGAGGCTAGGTCTCCACATCTCCACATGGCTGATCTGCTTTCTCTGCACCTCAATACTGGGTCACAACCAGAGTCCGAGAACCTGGAAGACAACCAGAAAGAATCTTGAGAGAATTAGAGAACAACTGGCCAGAATAATTGTCTGGTCAAAAGTCCACGTAGGTAGCAGAGGCAGGAAAAAAAACAGTGGAGCTCAGGGTCAGATGGGCAAAGGGACAAGGATGGAAGGCAGGGTCTGGTGCTGGGCAGTCTCTGCTCTGGGAGGCCCCAGCAAACAGTGAAGGCACAAGCCTGGATGATCAGAGCATCGGAAAACGCTGTTCAAGCTCTTCCCTCAGCAAGACTCTCGGCAGAATGAGGACTCACATCATGTAACAGTTCAGAGCTCTCCGAATGATCCAACCTGGGAGGCTTTAGGACAAATTCAGATCTTCCCAAATAATCCTGTAAAAGGTAGGGAGAGCCATATTCCTCAAACATACTAGATCCACGGTCAGTTGGATTCTGAACTTAAGAGACTGCCCTTCAACCTTCAAAATGAACCTGTCCCCACCACCCACTCCGAGAAAGATCCTGTGACCGAGTTGCTCCCTAAGGCAAGAGCATTAGGTCCTGGAAGGGGATACCAACATGTGACACCAGAGATGGGTCAGAATGTCCCGAGGCAAAAATAGAACTGATGTGTTTTGACCTTCAAACCCAGGGGAAAATCATGTAGCCAGAGGACAGGGTTGTTGGTACTTCTTTATAACTGAACCACTGTCTGCAAAGGTGTCAATCAACAAAGGGGGCTTCGTTTTGTGATCTCTCCTATTGTTATAAGAGTACTACACATTCTTCATAAGAATACTAGAATGAGATAAGCAAAAACAAAATAAAAATTATTCATTAGCCTACCATCTGGACACATCGCTGTAAACACTTGTATTTGTATTATTCTAGATATTTTTCTAAATATTTCCACAAATGGTGTCTAAGATGCATAGTTTTACGATCTGCTTCTTTAACTTAAAAAATGTATCCAAAACAACTTCTCATCTCATTAAACGTTATTATACAACATGACTTTTGATGGCTGTATAATAATTCATTGTATGGATGCCCCCGTTAAGCACTTAGGCTGTTCCAGATTGTTGCTATAATAACCAATACTACAAAATTTAATGTTGCTGCTAAATCTTTGCACATGATTTATTTCCTTAAACTAAATGCTTGAACATGTAATTACTGGATCAAAAGCTACGTAACACTTGAGGTTCTTTTCATATGTATTGCTAAACCATCTGCTGGGAAAGGTGTACCTTTTCTACTCCCACCAGCAGCAAATGAGAGAGCCCATTTCATGTCTTTGCCAACAGTGGATTTTGCCATTTAAAAAAATCTTTAAGTCACCACTTAGTCTATAAAAGCATCCACATCTCTGAAAAGCAAGATTTTTCCTGCTAAGGAGTACATCTGAGTCACTAGAGTAATAGTCCAGTTATTTTGAAACCACTTAATTTCTGTCCCTGTGCCTGATGTCACTTTTCCACCCACTGATGTCTTGGGAAAGAAAATAGTGAAAGAGAATTTAAATGAAGAGGGAAAACCTACAAATTCTCCTCTCTTTGCAGACACTGAAGAGGCCGGTGCTCCAGTCCCCGCCAGTCTGGACAATCGTCGTGACTGTGGTCCTGCCACTGGCTCCCAAGACAGGCTGCTTCACCACAGCCTGGGCTGGCTCATGGCTCCTGGAGAATCAAGGATGGTGATTTACTTAAAAACAAAGAAGATGGTTCAGAAAGACAATCATTTAGCCAAGACAGAGTGATAAAGAGGAGATAGCAACCCAGTGATGCCAGGCGGCTCTTAATTCATGACCCAAACTGCCCTCACCATCTCCCTCCCTCCTCCTTCATCCTACCTTCTCTGACTTTTTGCCCCATCACTATTAACGACATTATTATTCCAAATCCTGTCACTCAAACTCAATGTCCCGTCTACTTCTCAGTGCTTCTCAGTGTTTCATAATAGTTAAATCCACAAATTTGGAAGCAAGAGGCCTCAGTTCAAACCCCAGCATGCCATTTCCTGAAACAGGAGGCAGGCTGCATGGGAAGAGGATGCTTGGAACGCAGCCAGTCGAAACTGCCAGTGAAACATCAGGAGGAGGCCCAGCAAACAGCTGGAGATGCTGCACCAAACGTTGGAAGAGAGGTTAGGGTGGGGAGCTACCTGTCTAGAAGTGCAAAGTGCAGCTATGAAACGTGCCCAGCTCTCTTATCCATTAGGCATTACAGACCCGGAATAAGGTATCGGCTCCAAAATATACAATCCGCAAAAATACAAATTAGTTAGTTAGTGCTCAATTAAACACAAAAATCTAAATTATGTCAATCTCGTGAATTGTCAAATTTAGAATTCACAAATATCGTATTACATTTGAAAACAATTTATAATTCTCTCATTTAAAAAAAAAATCCCAAGTATGAATGACGGCAGCAGCCAATCATAAATGACTCATAGCCAAATGTCAAAAGCAAAAGTATGAAAATCCTTTCACTTATTGTACAGCAAAAAGAAAAATGGATATAATGTATGATGTGAGTACATTTTAATACATTCGTTATAAAGCGGGTGAGGGCATATTGCCATGGACTGAATTGTATCCCTCAAATTCTTAAGCTGAAGCCAGCCCCCAGTGTGACTATTTGTAGACAGGGCTTTTAGGAGATAATTCAGGTTAAATGAGAAATGGAGGTGGGATCCCGATCCAACAGAATTGCTGGCCTTACGAGAAATGGAAAGGCCATGTAAACACACAGCGAGAAGGCTGCAAACCGGGAAGAGAGGCCGCACCAGAACCGGACCGTGCGGCACCCTGGTCTTGGACTTACAGACTCCAGAACTGTGAGAAAACAAATTTCTGTTCTTCAAGCGACTCCAGAACTGTGAGAAAATAAATTTCTGTTCTTCAAGACCCCCAGTCTATGGCATTCTGCTATGGCGGCCCAAGCAGACTAAGACTCCTATGAGAATTTCAAACTGCCCCGGAAGAAAATATCTTTACATATATCTCATCTCCTCTAGTTCCATGAGAACTCCTTGAGGTCGGGGGCACATGCTGCTTCTCCCCGTACCCTCGGAATCCAGCCTACACCTTAAAACCTAGTGGGTGCACGTATTTGTTGAACGGGATCAAACTGAATTGCCATGTCTCTTCCGTTATATTTGAGTCCTCAAATCTATCTATAAATTATGTAGCCTTAACTGTGGTACCTTCTCTAGTAAAGGCACAACTTTCAGGTGTGAATTGATGAAATAAAAGCAGAGAATCGCCTAAAAGCTTCCTGCATCCTTCCCCACAATCTGAGGATTTACCTCTCAATGCGATGCCTATAAATTGACCCTCCTGTCATTATACTAAGAGCTTCCAATTATCTCCAACTTCAGCAGAGGAATTTCTTAGGGCTGAGCCCCTGGATTCAATTTTCCCCTGAAATAAACCATTTACAGTTTGCAGCCCTAGAATAGAATTTTCTGCTTCTATCTCAGCATTATGTGCATAACACCTTTTATTATGGCGAGAAAGCCTGTCCCTTATCTAATACAAATCAAATAACTAAGAGGATAGCTTTTCCTTAGTGGAAATAAAAGTTGTTTTGTGTGTATTTTACCTAATTTTGAACTCAGGAAGTACATCATTGAGTTTCTTTCCTTCATACCCTGAGTCTTTGGTGATTTTTATATTACAACGTTTGAACTGACAAGCGTTGGCTAAAACATTTTAGTTCAAGATGATAGCTCATGTGTCATAATTAAAATAACAAGCATAGTACTTTCTATCTGCCAGGCACTCAGTAGTTCCTTTAAGAACCAAATAATTATTCAGGATCTGCTACAGGGATCAGACTAAAATAGCTACTGTAGCTTCCTGCACAGTTTTTAGCTCTATTATCCCAGAGAACCTTATAGCGCCATTAAGAAGAAGGAGTTTAAAAACAGTGGGTAAACTGATGGTGACAAAGCTTTTCTAAATCAGAGCAGCTGTCCATGTCCCATCGAATGCTTTAATGAGTGGGAAAAGGTCAGATTCTAGATCCAGGCACGGTAATGTCCAAATGTGGCTCTGTTGCATTCTAGTTGGCTGACCTTGGGAAACACAACTTGTCACAGCCCTCAAGTCTGGTCTCCTCTTGCATAAAATTGGATTTAAAATATTCTACTTCCATGGTTGCCAGGAGGATTAAACAAGATCATGTACTTGGCACATGGTAGGCATGCAATCAATGGCAGCTATTATTATTGTAGCTTAAAGATGCTGCACATGCCACAGAAACAAAAGGAAAGAAGGGAGGAAGGGAGGAAGAGAAGAAGGAAGGAAGGAAGGAAGGAAGGCAGTCATTCTTTTGAAGGGAAGGAAGGAAGGAAGGAAGGAAGGAAGGAAGGAAGGAAGGAAGGATGGATCTGGGACAGTTTCTCAGTTGTCATATGTGATACCCAAATACCTTAAAATTCAATCAAGGTGACCAATCATCTCAATTTGCCCAGGACTATGGGTTTTCCTAGGATGGAGAACTCTTAGTGCTAAAATCAGGAGTCTCGGGCAAACCAGGAGGTCGGGTCACCTTGATAGGCAGAGGGAGGCTTCTGCGGGTGGGAGGCAAGAGGCTGATCCCAATCATTCTAGTTATCTGCTCCTACTGAGTAACAGTGCTAGGACATACATGAGATACACACCCTCCTCCTCTGACTTCATTCTATTCTTCTCCTAGCAGCTAAGCAGACTCCCCCAGCGAATGTCCCCACATGCCTGTTGCTTCAGTCAGTGGGTGGGGGAAGGGGGGAAGGGTTCACGTCACTCTCTTCTTTACTGAAACTTACAGTACTAAGAGTTCATTCTGCTTTCCACTCAGGTCTCCTTGATTATTTCATACTCTAATCTGAAGCCAAAATCCTTGAGTTTTTATTTCAAAAGAGTAGAAATTACTGGCAGCCATCGGAAATAGTTTCACTTGGTCAGGGTTCAACATTTTAAGAATAAAGAGACATCTTTTCACCCAAGTCAGCCCTTCTCTTTTCAGAAGGCCAGAAGGAACTAATCAGTTGCCCCCTTTTCAAGTGCACATGGCAGATGATTGCAACTACTTTCTCCCCAAGCCCATCTTTCTTTTCCTTGGCCCCTTATAAGAAAAGATCGATCCCATAGTCCGACCAAAGAGCCAAAGCTGGGGGTGAGGAGTGAAAATTCACCCTACTCCCTACCTCAAGCTGGAAATAAAATGTTCATCTTCAGATGATATGAGTGAAAGCAACAGAGGAGAGTGTATATTGAGTAAGGAAACATCCTCAGGAAACCTAGAGAAGTAATTTCCAAACCAACTCATGACAGGTATTTTCTTGTCATTCAGGCCTTCCTTTTCCCTTTGACGATAAGCTGACTGATTCTAAACTTAGGGTCAACCCAAAGTGAAAAGGCACTTCTAAAGAATGTTGCCTTGATATTCTGGAACCTGACATCACAGCAGTGTAACTGACAGACATCTTATTCCCCGTGTGCATGTCCATCTTACTCATCTGAAGGGAGATATAGTCTAAGTTTAAAAGCAAAGCTTATCTTTGGTGGAAAATCCCTTTCCTTTGAGAGATACTTCTAATAAACATTTATCTAGCTAAGTGTCATTTAACCTTTCCTTAAAAGACTCAGCCTACGGACTTCTGCCATGTAGTGGAGGTGAGAAGCAGCAGGGCCTCTCAGCATCCCGTGGCCTACTGGTCCAATTCAGCAAGAAAAGCCCCGTGACTAACCTGAAAGCAAGGACAGGGGTAACTTTCAGCCCAGATATCCATCTCCTAACGTTTGAGCTCTGCTAAGTTGTCCCAAGCCTTTAACAAGGCTTTTGAGAACTTACAGAAACCTCCTACTCTTGCAGGGACTTCACTGATCATGCCAGGAAAAGTGGTGCTGCTACTTCCTACCCAGCCCGAATGGAGCCTGGTGAACAGCTCAGGGCTAGGCCGGCGATTGCCTCCCCACCACTCCGAATCTTCAGGGTCTTAGGAGCCCCTGAGATAGGCCTCTAGGACATGCATTTTGGATGTGTGGATCCCAGAAACACTGGGAAAATGTCCTTTGAGACACACACACACACACACACACACACACACACACACACAGAGGGGAGGGGTCTGCAATCATAATTCAATATTAAAAAGACGACAGGAGGAAACTGCCAACTATACTACGTAGTCTTCTCATCAGACCCATAGAGCATGAATGGTTACGGTTCTGTACTTCAAAGCATTTTCTTGAGCAGGGTTGTTAGCAAAAGCCGACATAATACTTCTCACAAGGTTCTTCAGATACAGCTTTGTAATTGCCTTTGCTCGCTGGGTCTGGGCAACTCTCACCATCTTCCTAATGGGAAGACCACGTCCTTGGACGGCCCTGTTCCTTGGCTTACCACTCTATTCCACGTGCTGAACGCTGTGTTTGAAACACAATAAGCGCTGAATGTGGTGAATGAATGTGCTACAAGTGAAAATTCAACTTTATAAGAATAACAAAAATTAAGAGGTGATTACTTGCTTTGCAAAAAAAGATTTACAATAAGATCCTTTGAAGAGCTGAACAACCATTGTACATGTAAGCTGATTCCACATTTTAAATTTTCATTACCCAACTTTTCTAATCAAACATCTATTGTATGAAGTGACTAAACCACACGGCACACAGCTCCCTCACCTAAAAATTCAATGAAAACGAGAAAGAATAAAAAAGAACGTTCTTCTTTTAAAAAGAATGACCACTATTTATGAAAAAGAAAAGATAGCATTAGAAAAATCACTATTTTGCATAGTCCCCAACATAATTTATTCAGGAAAGGATCTTCCAGGGACACTAAAACCATAAGGAAAAAATTGAGAACAGGACATTCCTAAGGTACCAAAACATCAGTCCACAGATTTCTAGCTACAAAAGAAATAATGTATCTTAACTCTGGAGAGTTCTGGAAATACTCAAAAATGTACCTTTACAACAGATAGTTCTGAGTTTTTGGTTTTTTGGGTTTTTTTTAATATCTTTACAACAAAAACACTGAAAATAGTTTAAAATACATTATCTTTATAATGGAAAGTTCTGGAAGTGACCAAAATCTCTCTAAAATGGAGTTTTTAGAAATTATCAAATTAGTGTCACTAAGAATGGAACAGACATTATGTACCTCTCGATATGATGCGATAGGAAATGTCTAACCTAAATTTCATTGTCTCTAGACCACACCGTCGAATAGAAATGTAATACCCATCACATACGCATTTTAGCCGTTTTGTTAAGAGTAAAAAGAAATTAATTTTAATATATTTAACCCAATATTCCAAATATATTTCAGCATATAAGAAAATTGAGATATTTTATATTCTTTGTCATACTAAGTCTCTGAAATCTGAAGTGTATTCTACACTTTTATAGCATGCCTCAGACTAACGACATTCCAAGTGCTCTCTCCTGTTTTTTTGTAGCCTCCCCCCCGCCTCGCATCTTATAACCAATGAAGCTCTAAGTATAACAGTGGGCAATTAGAAAGCTTAACTGATGCTGTGAGTCTTGGGTGGCATCTGAGTATTTTCTAATACAGATGTAAAGCTATGTCCAAAGATATTAAGGAGAAAAAAAACATTTAACAAAGTACCAGCTAACACTGAAACCTACCAGAGCCAGACACACAGATATCTAAGAAATATTCATTAGATTTTAGTCACGACTACCACAAATTGTAAAAGTTTGGACATAACTACCACAAACTATAGAAGACATCTCATTCCCACTTACAAAATTTGCAGTAATTCTCCAGATAATTAAATCAACTTTGAATATCATTCTGGAATCTAAGAATCTTTATAAGGCCCAATTTACTTACCTGTTTCCAGTTTTTCCCTCATGCCTCCAAGATAAACATTCCATTCATGGCATCATCTCCCAAACAAGCTGAATGTTTGTTTTGACCTCCAAGCCCTTATCCACACTGAGTTCTAAACGCTAGCAATGTGGCCCTGCTCTCCAACCCTAATCATCCTTCATGTCTCACCTCATGTGTAAATTCTTATCTGACTGGCCCATGGAAACTTTTCCCTCCTCTAACCTAACATCCCCGACAACGCTGGCCTTGGTCAAATACGATCCTGTTTTCCATGCATACCTTCCTTGTTTAATGAGTGTGTTGTAATGGACTGGTAATACAGAGGCCAGGGTCTAACTTAGCTCTGCCACTGGTGTGTAGCATCTTGGGCAGGTCACTTTCCATCTCTAGGCCTGTTTCTTCATGTGGCCTCTCTGCTGTTCATTCCTTCGGCACATCAGCTGCACGTCCCTGCCTCGGAGCCTTTTTACCTGCTGTATCCTCTGCCTAAAATGCTTTTTTGCCCAGAACAAAACTATATATACATTTATCTTTGGACCTCAAGTCCACATCTAGAACTTTCTTCTTAAAATATACCTTTACACATATAAAACCGCATATTCACAAAGTTACTTACTATATAATTCTATAGTTTCTATAAAATGTCAAAAACTTAGAAACAACCTAAATGCCCACTCATAGGAGACTGAATCAATTATGGTCCACCTTTATGGTGGTATTACACAGGGGAGAGAAGAGCGGGGTGGAGGGAGGGAAAGGAGGAAAAGGAGAGCGACAAAGAAAGAAACAGATCTCTATGAACCAAAGTGGTAAAATGTCCAGGCTATGTTGTTAACTTAAAAAAGCAAGGCGTAAAATAATTATATATAACATGCTAATTTTTGCTTGAGGAAGGAGAAATTAAAGTACATATAAACGTTTATTTGTGGAAAAAGAAACACAGGAAAGATAATTCAGAAACTCATAACAATAGTTTGCTATCAACCATGGGAATGTGGCGCAAGACAGTAAAAATTCTCTGAACAAACAGTTTTGACTTCTAAACTGTGTATTTTACTTATTCACAAAATAAAAAAGGAAAAAAGCAAACTATAAAATTGAATAAAAAGAGAAACAAATGACTAACTCTATATTAAAAAACCGCAAATAAAAAAGAATTCATTCAAGTAACATTTGAACATAGTGCTCTGACTATATCTTTTATAGTGAGATACATTTTAAGGACACAAAGAACTACAAAAAAAATATGTGTATACACACACACACACACACACACACACACACACACTGAACTCTACACTTAGATTTGTTAATAGTAGTATTGGATTGGTAATTCTGAAAATACTAATAGACCAAATTAGCAAATATATCAGGTTCTTAGGAACCAATTCTCACTGTGTGAGAAGATAAAATTTTTAACAGGAGAGGGTTATCTTAGCTCTGCCCATTGGAAAGGTCTAAAAACAATGCATGACTCCTTAATAGCAATAAACAAAACATAAAGATCTTGGTTTCTTAATACCATTCACTATTAAAATGAAGCAGAACTCCTTGGAGAAAGAACTGATTCTAGTTCTGGGACAGGAAAGAAAATTCAAGGTGAGCTAGGAACTTCTTGCTGTGCCATTGAGCAATGAAATGTTCCAAGACTGATGTGGAGATATCAAAAGGACATAGGAATCACCTTGAATGGGACTCCCAGTAGATAATTTAGAAAAATTTGAGCAGTCAAAGTATGATAGTTATCGATGATAGCATATGTGAAAAAATATCCATCGGTCCGCAGTGATTTGAAAAGAATGATGGAATAAAAAGAGAGAGAGCAAAGAAGAATGATACCTAATTAATGTGAAAGAAATGATAAAATTAAGAACTCAGCTTAGTACAACTACCAATGTAATAACAAGCAGAAAGATGATCCAAGAATACTACCATTTCATGAAAGTTTGCTGGTAAGCGAGATAGTTACCTAAGTCTCAAAATATCACCTTACAGACCTCTTATAAATTACAAGAAGAAAAAGGTACCTTTTCAATGGCAAAGTCTATAGCTACTTTAACCAAGTGATCAAACTATCACCAGTAATGGGAACACACTGATAATCTATGAGTTCCGATGTGGTACAGTGGGAATGTCAACCATGTACTAGTCTTGTCAATTTTACTCTGAATCTGAACATCAGAGCACAGACAAATCCAGATCATGAGGCAAACTACTAACAACTGGCATGAAGTCTTCAAAAGTGTGACTGTAATGAAAGACCAGAAAAGAAAACGAAAGCAGAAAAATTGTTCCTGTTTGTAGATCAAGAGACATGACCATAAAATGTAATGCTTGACCTTTGATTGGGCCCTGAGGGTTAAAAAAAAAACATTATTGATGACATACTGGGGAAATTTTGTTACCTCTTTTTCATTAGGAAAGCTTATTACCTAATATTATTGCATCAATGTTAACTTTCTTGAGCGAAATATATGTATATTGTGATTATACAGGAAAACGTCTTAGGTCTTAGGAGCATTGAAAGGTCAAGTGTCATGGTGTCTGCAACTTACTGTCAAATGGTTCAGGATTTTTAAAAAGTGTATCTAAATGCAAGGTGATATCCTGGATTGGATCCAGGCCATTTACCACTAACGTGTGGTGAAATCCAAACAAAGCCTATAATTTAGTTAATAGTGATGTACCAATGTTAATTAATTTTGACAACTAATTCGAGGTTATGTAAGATGTTAACATTAGGGGAAACTGAGTGAGGGGTATACAGGAACTCTCTACATAATAGATGCAACTTTTCAGCAAATCTGAAACTATTCCAAAATTTAAAAAAATAATAA